TGTCATCTGCAAACTTGCTAATCAGACCATCTATACCTTCCTCCGGATCATTTATGTATATCACAAACAACAGTGGTCCCAACACGGCTCCCTGTAGAACACCACTGGTCACAGTTCTCCATTTTGAGAAACTCCCTTCCACTACAACTCCGTCTCCTGTTGCCTAGCCAGTTCTCTATCCATCTAGCTAGTACACCCTGGACCCTATGCGACTTCACTTTCTCCATCAGCCTGCCATGGGGAACCTTATCAAATGCCTTACTGAAGTCCATGTATATGACATCTATAGCCCTTCCCTCATCTATCAACTTTGTCACTTCCTCAAAGAATTCTCTCAAGTTGGTAAGACATGACCTTCCCTGCACAAAACCATGCTGCCTATCATTAATAAGCCCATTTTCTTCCAAATGTAAATAGATCCTATCCCTCAGTATCTTCTCCAGCAGCTTCCCCATCACTGACGTCAGGCTCACCGGTCTATAATTACCTGGATTATCCTTGCTACCCTTCTTAAACAAGGGGACAACATTAGGAATTCTCCAGTCCTCCGGGACCTCACCCGTGCACAAGGATGCTGCAAAGATATCTGTTAAGGCCCCAGCTATTTCCTCTCTCGCTTCCCTCAGTAATCTGGGATAGATCCCATCCGGACCTGGGGACTTGTCCACCCTAATGCCTTTTATAATACCCAACACATTCCCCCCCCCGCCCCGCCCTTAAGCCGACTTGACCTAGAGTAATCAAACATCTATCCCTAACCTCAACATCCGTCATGTCCCTCTCCTCAGTGAATACTGACGCAAAGTACTCATTAAGAATCTCACTCATTTTCTCTGACTCCTCACATAACTTCCCTCCTTTGTCCTTGACTGAGCCAACCCTTTCTCTAGTTACCCTCTTGCTCCTTATGTATGAATAAAAGGCTTTGGGATTTTCCTTAAACCTGTTTGCTAAAGATATCTCATGACCCCTTTTAGCCCTCTTAATTCCTTGTTTCAGATTGGTCCTACTTTCCCGATATTCTTCCAAAGCTTCGTCTGTTTTCAGTCGCCTAGACCTTATGTATGCTTCCTTTTTCCTCTTTGCTAGTCTCACAATTTCACCTGTCATCCATGCTTCCCTAATCTTGCCCTTTCTATACCTCATTTTCACAGGGACATGTCTGTCCTGCACTCTAATCAATCTCTCTTTAAAAGCCTCCCACATATGAAATATGGATTTACCCTCAAACAGCTGCTCCCAATCCACATTCCCCAGCTCCTGCCGAATGTTGCTATAGTTGGCCTTCCCCCAATTTAGCACTCTTCCTTCCGTCCATCAGTATTCTAAAACTTAGGGAATTGTGATTACTATTCCCAAAGTAATCCCCTACTGAAACTTCAACCATCTGGACGGGCTCATTCCCCAACACCAGGTCCAGTATGACCCCGTCCCGAGTTGGACTATTTACATACTGCTCTAGAAAATCCTCCTGGATGCTCCTTACAAATTCTGCTCCATCTAAACCCCTAACACTAAGTGAATCCAGTCAATGTTGGGAAAATTAAAATCTCCCATCACCACTACCCTGTTGCTCCTACATCTTTCCATAATCTGTCTACATATTTGTACCTCTATCTCACGCTCGCTGTTGGGAGGCCTATAGTACAGCCCCAACATTGTTACCGCACCCTTCCTATTTCTGAGCCCTGCCCATATTGCCTCACTGCTCGAGTCCTCCATAGTGCCCTCCTTCAGCACAGCTGTGATATCCTCTTTGACCAGTAATGCAACTCCTCCACCCCTTTTACCTCCCTCTCTATCCCGTCTGAAGCATCTATATCCTGGGATATTTAGTTGCCAATCCTGCCCTTCCCTCAACCAAGTCTCAGTAATAGCAATAACATCATACTCCCAGGTACTAATCCAAGCCCTAAGTTCATCTGCCTTGCCTACTACACTTCTTGCATTAAAACAAATGCACCTCAGACCACCTGTCCCTTTGCGTTCATCATCTGCTCTCTGCCTACTCTTCCCCTTAGTCACACTGACTTCATTATCTAGTTCATTACAGGCTTTAGTTACTACCTCCTTACTGTCCACTAACCATCTTATTTGGTTCCCATCCCCCTGCCACGTTAGTTTAAACCCTCCCCAACAGCGTTAGCAAAAGCAGCCCCTAGGACATTGGTTCCAGTCCTGCCCAGGTGCAAGTTGTCCAATTTGTAATTGTCCCACCTCCCCCAGAACCGGTCCCAATGTCCCAAAAATCTGAACCCCTCCCTCTTGCACCATCTCTCAAGTCACTCATTTATCCTGCCTGTTCTTTCATTTCTACTCTGACTAGCACGTGGCTCTGGTAGCAATCCTGAGATTACTACCTCTGAGATCCTACTTTTTAACTTGGCTCCTAACTCCCTAAATTCTGCTTGTAGGACCTCATCCAATTTTTTACCTATATCATTGGTACCTATATGCACCACGACAGCTGGCTGTTCACCCTCCCCCTTCAGAATGTCCTACAGTCGATCTGAGACATCCCTGACATCCCTATTAATACATCTAGACAATTTCCATCATAAACATAAATGTGGAAACTTCTATTGGGTAAAAGTGTCAACAGGAAATTAAATGTTCCCGACAAAAACATGCACATAGATACAAGAATTTTATTTTAGATGTCTGATCATAGCATTTAGAAAGGTGATGTTTACATTTTCACTGACTACTTGTCTCAAATGGATTGACCAAACCCGTGGGGCATGACAGGTACCCAACTATCAGCTACTTTGAACAGACAAATGAGAGCAGTAGCAATGGCAAAATTTCAGTTTGTGAATTGATAATTGCATTCTGTAAGGCGAAAATATCCAAAATGACTGATGTTTTAGATTCAACAAGCATTATCATTGGCTATCTCTCGATTTTGAGGATGACGGCTACTCAGGATAATATGTTTTTTTTAACTTGGATCTTCATGTGAGTGAATAGACTTGATTCTCAACTTGCAGATCTTTGGACACACCTGGCTCTGAGGCCATAATGCCTGCATCATGCTTTGACATTTGGACTCAAAATATGATGCGACTTAATGGACAAGTTGGCATTATTTTAAATGACTCATAGCAAGCTCTTCCCAGTCGTTAATGTAAATTGCTCCCACACTTCACAGAGAGCTTCAAAGTACCTCTGAAGTTTTTCCATTGTTTTCCCACGAAATTGGCCAATTGAGTATTGTGGAAACAGAACTTGGTGGAATAAGTTTTCAATCATCTAGACGTTGTTCAGACCATACGAATTGATTTTGCAGTAGTATCACTTGAATGCTTGTGGAGATGGCTTCAAGAAGGATCGTGCTATTTGTTTGATTTTCCTCCCTCCTGATTCCTGAGAACATGATAGAGTATTCTTGATGGAATTTCTTTATTGCTGTAATGTACAGTCCAGGTCTTGTTGCAGTACAGGGAAAATGTGATACGCCTCTCTCTCCCTGGGATTTGTATTTGATTGTGGAGGTCTTTGTTGTCAAAACTTGCTTCCTTAGTTGGTTGAAGGTTGAGCACAGCTGCTCAAATGTTAAATCTGTTCATCAATCGTAGCCTTTTGAGAAAGTTTGCTATCGAGGTGTAAGAAAGTGTCAATATATTCTGGCAATAGCAGGAAGTGTAATAGAAAGGCAGAATGCAACTTTGTACATTCTGTATGGGAGAACTAAATTAGGTAGCTGTTTGGAGGTACTTTTGTCTAATTTCCTTCTCCTAATGGATTTACCAGTGCAGTTCAAACACAGTAAACTTTGATACTTGACTTTTCATTTTACTTTGTCAGGAACAACATTTTGAAAGCAGAAATCAAAGTAATTCAACTTCATTGGAAGTCACATCATTGCTCCTGGAAATTCTGATTTTATCCCACAGATAGAACAGTATTCTTGAAGGGGCTTTCTTCTGGTGGCTATTAATAAGAAGTATCAAAATTGACATTAACATACATTACTTGTCAATTAATAGTCATTCACAGATATTTTGTGTTGTACTGTTAGCATAATCCATAATAAGGAGTGATTAGCATTTTCTGAATGATAATTTTGTCAAAATCTTCGAGTGTCGTGTAATGAGTTTGTGTATTAGCTATGAGATCAAAATCTTGCTTTTAGCAATGCTAGCAACTAGATACGGTCTATCACCTTTCCTTTGATTCAGACTTCTGACTGCATGGTCACTCTTCAAATTGGGCTGAATTCTTTTCATTTAGATTAGTAAGTCATTGAGTATTAGAGTCCCTCTGGCCCATCATGTCTGCATCAGTCATCAAGCACCTATCTATTCTAGTTCCAGTTTTCAGCACATGACCCGTAGCCTTTTCTGCTATTCATCTAAAGTGTTCATCTAAGTGCTATGGTTCCTGCCTTCCCTTTGAGACAGTGAGTTCCAGATATCCACCACCATCCAGGTGCAAAATAACTATGCAGGAATTATGAACCCACATGTTATACAGATACATCATAAACTCTCTGCTCAAATATTCAGTGCCATGACTTATAAAGGTAAATATCTATATGACTTCTTAACCACCTTATCTCCCTATCCTGTTCCCTTCAAGGGCCCACAAATTATTTCATACTCCCTTGCTTTGCTAGTCCTCCCAAAATGCATTACCTCATACTTTTGAACATTTGAAGCCCTTTTAATGTGTGCATTGTTAACATTTTAAAATGAAGTGATTTTCTATAAATTTGAATATGAGTTTGCTTTTTGAAATAAAGCACTTTTGAGATGATTTCGGAAAATCTATCATATTTAAAAGTCCCAGTCATATTTTACTTAAATTTATTGTGCTAACTGAGCATCTTGATTTTGTTTTGATGCTTTGATCCAAGGTGACCATTCAAGTTGATATCTCGACTGTGAAATGCACATCAGGGTCCTGTGAGTAGATCAAAGAAAATGGAGGTATATGCAAATAGTATTCAGTAACCAAGAGTTATAATTTTGACTAACTATAGTTTTGTTTTCTTTCAGGAAGCAAACTAAACAAGGATCTACGGCACTATCTCAGTCAACGATTTCAGAAAGGATCGGCAGATCACGAACTGCAACAGACAATACGGGATAATCTTTATCGACATGCTGTGCCTTGTATGTATAATTTTTAGTTTTGATTTTAAATTTTTACAGTTGGGATACCACGATCCTTTTGATCCTCTTCAATATTCATGATGTTCCGTTGGCATGTTTTATTTTACTTCTGCTGTTTCCTTCAAAAATAAAAAAATTCTGTTTTAAACTAATCTGGAAGTAAAAGGACAAATGCCAGCAAAAGATCTGCTGTTGGGGTGGAACTGGGTTTTATTGAAATGTTTCTTATAATCAAGAGGAAATTGGAAGGAAAATGATGGACGAGCTCTTCAGAATAGTATTAATAGAGACCTGTAAGCGAATTGTCTTCTCATCTCAGTTAGAGATGTTCTTTAGTACAATGGTGCTAATCATTTCCATAATCATTCCAAATGCCTTTTTCTATTCACAAGTGTGTGTATATTACTCAATATCCAATTCCAGGCTAAACCAGAAATATAGCTACAAAATCACTTCTGTCGTTTACATATAATGACTTTCTCATGGGATTCCTCAAACTTTCTAAAGGCAGAATAAGAAATAGCTAAGTAGGATGTGGCCATCTTTATTTCACAGGCAGGAAATAAGACTAGAAATAAGTACACCAGAACAGTCACAATAATTCCTCAAAATGGAATGGGAAAAACATAGGAAGAAAAAAACAAAATGGAAATGAATACGAAATTATGCAGCCTTTTTTGGGCTGCCTGATTTTGTTTTTTGGCTTGCTTTTTAACTGCAAAAACAGATCTCTTACATTTGAACTTTCAGCTCTGGACCAAAGCCAGAAACTCTGTCTTAAACCTGGCTGCCCATGTGTTCCTTTGTTCTGTATTTTTTCTTTCTGCGCAGCCAGTGGGAGAAGTGTTCCCCCGATTTTATTCCTTTTCTGTGATTTGCCAATCTGAACGTAAATCAAATAAGCACTTCCCAGTCACCTTGCTGGTTTTAGATTGAAACAACTGTTCCTGTTAATCTTAAAATGAATAAAGGGCATCTTGTTTTGGTCAATCTGAGGTGCCAAAGTGGAACCTCGCATTACGAGTATGAAAAAGATGGTGAATCATTTCACAAATTGCTTTATCTGGCTGTTAAACAAATCTTCAATTGCTTTAGTCAGTTGTTTTCAAGAATAAAAGGATAATTGAACGTAGCGTAATTTTGCTATTAAAGTAAAAAGAAACAAGATTCTGTAAATATTGCAGCCTTCATATATCTCCTTTAACTTGGGAATATATATATATATTTTTTAAATCACAATGGCATAAGGGGAAAGTGGTATCAAATAGAAGAAGGAGATTTTAGATAGGTCCAAATGCTTGTTCCAAGAAATGGGCTTTAAGGCAAATCTTGGAAGCAGGGGGACATAAAAAGGCAATGGAAGAATGTATGGTTTAGGTTATTGAAGGCATGGCCATTTATAGTGAGGATGTGCAAGCATCTGAAGTGAGAGGAATGGAGAGTTTGGAGTGGCATTTTACTTTATTCCTTTGAGTAATACTGCAGTTCAGGGTTATAAAGACTAATTGGTCTGTCAATACTTTTAACCCATCTGTGAACTGTTCAAAATGATACTTAAAAGAAATATTCAGTGACAATATTCATTCCTTTGCTCCTGACTTCCAAGGTCTTCAAAAATGTTTGAAATCCATGATGATATTAATTGTTTGATTTTTTTTTTTTAGAAACCTTTTTTAAAATCAAAATCTAAGCCTTTTAGAATTTTGTCTTGTAATTGAACCGTTTGATAATGACCTGATCTCTGTGTTGTTCCAAACCCTCGTTGATGATAGGGTCAGAATACATATTCCAGATCTACTGTGGTTGATCATAACACTATTATTATCTTTTAAAAGGTTGACACTTAAGGGAAAGAAAAAATTCCCTGCTGAAACACTTATATTTTACCTTATAATCAAACTGTATATTAGATAATTGTCTAATGTCAAATTTCATCAGTTGAGCTGTATGCATTCTGTGCACATTTAAAAAGCAACTTAATTTCTAAGAGATATGGTGAACTAACACCACTTAAATTGTAGTTTTAGTACCACATACGCTTGATCTTGTGCGTTGTTCCTTTGATATCTGTGGCTTCATTTGCTTGGCAATTCTAGCACTTGTGAAGGAAACATTGAGGCAATAATCTGGATTAAAAATATTCCATCATTGTCACTATCCTAGTTCAATTACAGTTGCATTTTTAAAATTCCAATTATCTAGCCTTATGACCTTGTTCGCAACAATTCTGCAGCTGCTGATTTGCTTAACCATACCCTTACCTCTAACTTTGATGCCCTAGTGGTCAATAAAACTTCTTATTCTCTCAGCCTGTCAAGTCCCCTTATTTATGGCCCTCATCTCGGTCCTCCGGAGTCCAAGCGACAAAGATTTGAAAGAAGTTAGCTGACAATCTGTAACCATTCACTGCCAGATTTGATTGAATTACATAAAGCGCTGTTGGATCTGACACTCCTCTACCAAAACCACTCATGAATCCAGGATCATGTTGGAATGCAGAGATACCCTGTGGCTTATTTTTTTGACTGTAGACTATCTTTTTAAACCTCCTCTCCCTTGTCTCCTCCGTCTCCAGTCGCAAGTTCAAGAAGCTCAAGAAATTTGTCACTAAAGTCATGTTCATCCCATCACCTAGTTCTGCCATATCCCACCTTAACCACTAACCCATCAGACCAAGTTTCCTCTAAAGCTCCCCTCTAACAGCCCTGTGCATGAGTTGTTCTCTTTTGCTCTTCTATCTTCTGTCATGGCTTGTTACACCTTTCCTTGTGTTCTCTGAAATCTATTTCCACTAAGCTGCTGACCATCTTTTTGCTCCACTGCTACATGATATTACAGACAATTCTCTTTTTCAGGTGCTTTCCCCCTCTCTAGATCTGCTGTCACCACTCCCACCTCAAAAAAAAACCCCACCCTCAACCCCACCATCTATGCAAATTGCTGCTCCATCTCTAACCACTTATTTTTCCTCTAGGTACGTGAATGTGTTGTCTCCTATCAAATCATTCTCATTTCTCCCAGTCTGCTTTTGAATCTGTCCAGTCAAGTTTTCATCCCTGCTGCAGTACTGAAGGACTCTCCTTCAGAGCCTCAAATTACACCCTTATGTGACTGTAACTTATATGAACTACCTCTCGTTGCCCTTATCAATTTGCCTATGGCCTTTTGACATCATTGACCATCCATTCTCATCCAATACCTCTGCACTGTAGATCAGAGATAGAGCTCTTGCCTTGTTCCATTTGTATCTACCTAATCATACAACTTGCAATAGCTTCTGTTTCCACTTTGTACTGTGCCTGGCATTCTCAAAGGATCTATCCTTGTTCCCTTCCTATTTCTGATTTACATGCTGTCCATTGTTGATGTTATCTGAACACAGCTTTAGTTTTCACTAATTTATTGACAATACCCAGTTCTCACTTAAATCCTGCATTGTTGCTTAATTATCAGTCTTCTTACCTGGCATCGAGTATGAAGCCATTGTTTTTAGTCCCACTACAAATTCCTTTCCCATGTTACTGACTGTCTACCACTCCCCTGGAAGCTGTCAACTACTAGACTGTTCACATCCCGATGGCATGTTTTACCTGGAGAAAAGCTTCTGACCAATCTTGCACCCTCATTAAGATCGCCTGATTCCACCTGCAAACCATGGCTTGACTCTACCCTTGCAACAGCTCATCTGTTGCTGAAAACCTCCATCGTGCCTTCTTATAACTGTACGCCTGACTATTCCAAAACACTTTCGGCAACAACCTTGCATCTACCCTGCTTAAATCTGAGGTCACCAAACTCTGCTGCTTGTGCCCTTACTCAAACCTGTCATCCATGTTCCCACTCACCTATACTGGCTCCAGATCAAACAGTGTTTTTTGGCCAACCCCAAGCTCGTTGCTCTCAGCAGTAGGAGATTGAGTGTTTAGTGTCCAATTTGGACAACAAACAGAAGCAAAGATAACAACTTACAGGAAAACATGCAGATGATGCAAGTTACCATTGATCAGAAGCTAAACTGGAATAGACACAGAAACGCTGTACCTGTAAGACCAAGTTAAAGACTGGGAGTTCTGCAGCAAGTAAATCTCCTCTTGACTCCTTAAAGTCTGTCCATCATCAACAAGGCACAAACAGAGAGTGTAATGGAATCATCTCCACTTGCCTGGATGAGTGTAGCTCCCAACATCATCCAAGAATCTCCGCACCATCCAGGACAAAGCAGCCCACTTGCTTGACCTGCCATCCATCACCAACACACAGTGGCAGCATCATGCACCATCTGCAAGATTTGTTGCAAGAGTTCACCAGGGTTTCTTCTCTTGTGCTACTGCGTTAAAGCTGGGTATAGTAATATGCCAGGACAAGGACAATACCACATGATCAAGAGCTGCAGGGAGTCCAGGCAGCAACCACAGATTAAGGGTGTGTACGTGAGTCGCTCTTTAACTGCAAGTTATCAGTTTGTTGGTGAATGAAGATTGGCTGTGATTTTCACGTAAATTGAACTTACGGTATTTATGAATGAGAGTGGGAGTAGTTAAGAAAAACAGTACAAGAATGACACATTCAACAGCACCTGCCAAGCCCACAACCTCTACCACTTAAAGGACAAAGGTAGCAGTTACTTACGAACACTACCACTTCCATCGCCACCATCATGTCACACACTATCCTGACTCAGTGATGTTGCTATTCTTTCCCTCGTGCAGGATCATAATTCTGGAAGTGCCTCCGTAAAAGCAGTGTGCATATATTTGCACCACGTGGACTTTAATAGTTCAAGAAGCTGATTCACCACTACCATCTCGAGGGCAATTTTGGATTGACAATAAATGTTTCTCGAGCCAGCGATCCCCACATTCTGTGAAAGAATAAAAAATTATATAAACAGAAGACCTCAGCACTCTCAGTTAAAAAGATAGAGTGCAAGAGAAACATGGGTTTGGGCAGGAAGGGAATAAATAGTTGAAGCTTTTAAAATAAAGTTGATTGGATCCCTT